TTTTTTAAAAAAAAAAAAACTTTTTTCCGAGTTTTTTTTTTTTTTTTTTTTTTTTGCCCCCCCCCCCCCCCCCCCCATCTTGTGTTGTGCATCTTGTGTTTCCTTCTCTGTCAGTTGCTGGTGAAATATGTTCGAACTGTGACTCAGTAAAGATGTGAACCCAACACAGAAGCATTGATAAGTTTGTTTTCCTTTCAGTTGATCGGTGCTTATTGGGGAAAAGTGGAAGTCCTCATTCGACCCTTTTTGATCTCACAACTCTAAATCCTCAATACATCTCACACTACGTGATGGATTTCATGGTCCCCAGAGGATAAAGTGTGCTGACCCTGGTCATGCTCTGTCTTCTCCTCTAGCGCCACCATGAGGTCGACATTTGTTTTTTGTAAAAGGTCTCAACAACTATTGGGTGGATTACCATCACATTTGTAGCAGACATTCATGTTCCCCTCAGGATGAATTGCATTGTATCCGTCAATGTTACATCCAGCGCCATCATCAGGGCAACATGTTTATTTGTCCATTTCTATGGTTTATGACCAAAAACCTGTAAAACTAGTGACATTCCCATCAGCCTCAGCCTTGTCTAGCACTAATTAGCAAATGTTAGCATGCTAAGCTAAGATGGTGAATTTAGGCTGCGTTCCAAATCAAATACTTTTTCTTTTTACTTTTCGTACGTACTGCAGCTGCCCTTACAAAGTGCGTACTGTTGCATACAATTGGGACATACTACTACTGAAAGCCATGCTCACATATCTGCTATCTTTACCTTGGCTCATCTTCCGCCGTGCAGAGGATTGTGGGTCAGAATCGCCATAATATCATGGACGTATAAAGAGAACTGGATACAGTGTTTGAGGCGGGGCCCCGTTTATTTGGACACAGCGTCAACAAATGTGACAGCTACAGTAGCTCGGAAAATAGCGATGTGTGGCACTGAATGTGATTAATTTACTGTTTATCAGACTACAAACGAGACATGAAATACACCCTCGCTGGGGGACGACTTGGCTACTTAGTGGGCACCAGCTTCGGAGACGGATTGTGGCGACTTGAATTCCAGCCAGCGCGGTACCGAGCACCTCTGTCTCCGGAACTGCTCTCCTCCCGGCTCTAGCCTCCTAATTGGCTGGGAGCAGAGACCCAGCGCTGCCGCTTATTTTCTGTAACCAGCGTAACGTTAGCATGATAACATGGTGGAATTTGCGCGCTAACGTCTGACCCGCAAGTTGTAATTTCAAGGTTTGGCCACTGTGTCAAATTAGCCTTCGAAGCCCCGGGGCTCGTCCTGGGGGGTTGATGGAGGCATGCACACTGCAAAATGCAACCGGCTGCGGGAGGACATCCTGGTATTCTTTGGCCTGCTGCATCTAACATACTATTCATTGGGACATGCTAAATCTTAGCATGTTGGTATGTGTATTGGAACACAACCTTGGTAAACGTTATACCTGCTAAACATCAGCATGTTAGCATTAGAGCACGACATGCTGACGTTAGCATTTAGTACAAATAAGTACAGCCTCACAGAGAAACTGAAATTCTGACATCTTGCATGTATTTCGCAGTTTTCTATGTTTTAAAATGATTTCATCTGTACATCTATATACATCTTAAGACAACGGGAGTAGAAGGTGTATATTCATATGCAACTTTAGGAGATGAACAGATTTTCTTTCCTCTCTGATCTCATATGCTGATGGAGAGCAGCATCTTATCACACAGAAAGCTGGGAAAAGTGTGCCAATTTAAGTGATTTTGATATTCAGAGAGGACGACGCTCTTAGAAAGGTTTATGGATTCATGTTCATAGATGTTTACAGCAGATAAATATTTAGACTTTAACGCCTGAAAATGCTCCTTAGATACCGTTTTTGACATATTGTTCAGGTACTTTCACCCGTCAGAATGCAGACTGTAAATACCAACGTGAATTTATTAATAGAAGAGATGTACAGCTGTCTGTTCTGTGCCAACGGTCACGCTGACACCAGGACAGTGAACTCGGCTGATGTCCACATCAGTTCTCCGAACTCACAGGCGCTCGGATGGATTTTGCCGTTCAGAAAAAAAAACAGGTAAAATGTAATATGAGTGCTAAGAATATTGAGCCAGTTTTGGGCACAATATTTTCCATCTCTGAGAGGGTTGTTTGTTTTTGAAACTGAGCCAGACCGGGTCCCAGCTGCTGTTGTTGATTGTGTCCTAAAATGGTCGGAATTAAAAACATTCCTAGAATTATTGGCGGGAATGAAACTGGAAGAACTGTAGACGCACTTTGTAAACTTGTCTCAAAAAGCAATTAAGAACGTTGAATTGGACACTATAGTTACATGAGTGGTCATGTTTGAACAGAAGTGGGGTTTTTTTTTTTTTTACATTACTGGAAATGCTTCTAAAAACAGATTTAACTGAACTGTAATTTGGTTGTTCTGTTGACAAAAAGTCACAAATTACTCCATTTAGCCGAAAAAGAAAACTCACTGCACAAACAATATTTCACAGAATCGGTCAAAAGGTCTCATCAATTTTGGACAATCGATGTGTGGAAATCATAACTGATGATGGATGCTTAATCTTGAACACATAATGAGAACATCAATTTAATTCGGCCCGTGCTGTAGGCTACATCCACCATAGCCGCACTTGTATCTCTTGTGTTAACGTTACATCAAACGTTGGCGAGTTTTTTCACAGATGAAGTATTACACTAATATATAGTTGGGGGACTAACAAGAGAAATGCTGCAGTAGAGGCCGACATATCCAGTGTGGGTGAAACTCCACCAATACAGGATCCAGATTCCCACATATTGTGCAAGACCAGCGATGTAGTTCACTGAGCCGCTTCGCACAAAACTAAATGGTGCTACGACAAACCCACTGTGATCTTTGTTCACTTGCTAAATTATCAAGAATTACACCCTATATGTAATTCACGGCACAACTGAAAGGGAATTGACATGATTTAACTCATCATTGGCTACCGTACACCGAAAGGGGCGGGACTTCCCCTCTCTGTTGCCTCTCAACGGCTCTCAACATGCCGCCGGCTCATAGCTAACGTTGCTAACAGCGCTAGCGGTGCAAAGCACTTTTTTTGTTTAAAGTGTTTACAGAGCAAACGGTTTTTAGCTGAGCTGGAACCGGAGGGTGGTTGCTTCGCTTCCGTGATGTCAAACGTCGGTCGGGCGGCCGTTGTGAGCTGTAACCGAGAGTGGCAGCCATGAGCTAGCTAGTAGAGCATGCTCACACGTGCTAGCGTGTCCTAAAAACATGGCGGGACCGGCCTGTCTATGTCAACAAAGTCAGGAGAAGCTCTTGTTGCAGCACACAGAGAAAGAGCGACTTCACTCTGCTCGGGTCGGCATTACTCCTCTATATCTTTATGTTGTGTATTTCTAAACTAGTTTTTGAAGGCTTGTTTTGGCTGCCGTGTTGGCTCCTATTGGCCGCATTTATTTCCCACAGACATGTGAGGTCGAAAGGGACAGAACCAAAACTCAGAAGCAGAAATATGGAAAATATGAACCATGTCATTAATGTCTCAGAGGGTCGAAGAAGACATAATATGTGTGAGTTTACTCCCCCTCCCAAACATTTCACCTGCCAGTCAACTCCCTTTGGTTCCACCCTCCTCCTCCTCCTCCTCCTCTCCCTTCCTGCTGCCATCCACGTTGGGAGACGTTTTCCAAAGGCCTTTTATTCCTCTCCATCTCGCCATCTCTGTCACACCATCCCGCAGTCCCCTCCTATTGCCCCTTTTTTAATTGTGTCTTCACAACCAGGCCGCCTCCTCCCCTCCCTTTTCAGTGTCCCACTCGGTGCGTAAAACAAATTTTCCACTGAGAAAATACTTCTCACAAGTCGCAACTGTGCTGAGGTTGGGGGGGGGGGGGGTTTTTTTGGTCTTTGAAGATGGGGAGGGGGTGTGCGACTGCGTGGTTGTGTGTTTGAGAAAATAGGGCGGGGGGGGGGGGGGGCAGTCCTCCCAGTGGAGTCTGGATCAACAGCTGGATCAGCAGTCCACCTCTCCCTCCGTGCGGCGCTGCAGGTGAGTTCACCGTCTGTCCTCATGTTTGTTAGTGGAGGGAGGAAAAGTTTTAGGACTCATCAGATGAGCTTTAGACATTAAAACAGAAGTATATGAGAACACAAGCTGGCTTTTAAATCCTAATGGGAATAAATCTGTTCGTACCTCGTGCACCTTACTTGAATGAATTGTAAGATTAGTCGATAAGTCGGTTTGATCGACCCTTTATAAAAATTCAATTCATTTATGTTATTCAGTCCTGCATTGCTTGCTTTTCCTGTTTGAATGTTATGTACATTTATTATGTAGGAAACCTCTGATTTAGTATATTGCTTTTCAATTTATTGCTTGTTTAAATTGTGCTTGTATTTTTTTGTGTGATATTCATACTCGTGTACTTTTTGGGAAATGTGCTGTAAAAAAAGTGCATGCACATTCTAGTCGAGCTATGGAAGCCCATTTCTTTACTGTCTCATCAGTTTTACTTTTTTCATCTTCGGAAAAATTTCAAAATTTAGAATTTTTACCTGATATTATCAACTTTCTTTCAGAATTGTTTGACTCACTGTCTCATAATTTGCAGAATCAGAAAGTTAATGGCCAGTATGTTTGCACATACAAGGAATTTGACTTGGTGATTGGTGCATTAAAATAAGGGCAGTGGAATAGTATAATACATCATTAAAAAATAATTATACTATATAATATTATCTAATAACATAGTTTGACTTAGTAAGTAAAATGTTTATTTTGTCATATCATAATGTTGGCTTGTTAATCCAATAATTGATTAAATGATGACTTTATTATAATTAGTTATTATAATAATTTTGTTTCTGGTGTAAATTTGCTTCCATAGAAACTAGGATGGTTGGCTAACATGATGGATCCGGTTGTTGTGAACAATTATTTTAATTATGGATTAATTAGCCATTTATCAATCGACTAATCTATTTATTTAATCTTTCTATGAAATATCAGAAAATAATGAAAATGCCTATTATTATTATTATTATATTATCATCATTAGCTCAAGGTGATGTATTTAAATTGCGTGTCTTATTCCACCATCAGTCCAAAACCTAAATAAATTCAGTTTACAGTCATGTATGAGCATCGGTAATGTATTAAGTAATATGGTGTGTGCTGTATGTCTTATTGCCTGTTTCTGTTCACCAGGATGTTGCAAGAGGGACAGTGAGTCAGTGTAGTGAAGTGTTCATGATGCCTTCACTGTCGGGGGTCGGGTGGACTGTTCTCTGTCTCCTTCTGCTCTGGAAGAGAACGGGAGGTAAGAGCATCAGTCGCACCCATTTATCTTCAGACCGACAACAATCATTACAGAGTTGTGTCGACATTAAACGTATCAACTGTGATATCTCCTCTGCTCAAGCAGCCACAAGTCAAAGGTCTTTATTGAAAGGGAAAATAGTTTCTCCTGGGAAATATTCCCGTCCCCTCCGGCAGGACTTTCTACATTAGACTGTTTGACTGATAAGTTGAAATAAGGCAGAGGAAGAGTCGCAAGAAGTGGCTCAGCAGTCATGCCGGTTTTTGTTGAACCAGTGTGCCATGTGCATGTAGAAGATGCAGAGCATTGATCTCATCCAGTCATAACTGCAGTCATTTGTTTTGGTGACATTGAGGAATATTGGTGTACACCCCCCCCTGCAGTTTCATTTGTATCACACCTCATAGTTCAAGCGTCTCCTATTCCTCCTAAGCTCACAATGTGGAGGTGCGGTGCTCCGTGGCACCAATGGGGGCGCTTCACCCTGTTCAGGGTCTGCTGGAGAGGTTCGAGGCCGGGCCGGGCTGTGCTGCCAGGGAACGCGGTGACAAGGAAACTCATGTGATTGCAGTGGGGAGAGTGACAAACAGCCCAGAAAACAAGGTACTATGCAAACTCAAACTGGGTGTAAGAGTATGGAGGCAGTGATCAAAAGTACATTTACTTAAGTACAAATCTGAGGTGTACTTTACTTGAGTTTTTCAATTTTATGCAACTTCATATTTCTACTTCTGTACATCTCTACAGGGAAATATTGTACTTTTTACTCCACTACATTTATCACACTGCTTTAGTTACTATTTACTTTTCAGATTTTTTTATTTATAAAATATGATTACACACACACACACACACACACACACACACAGTTGTGTGAAAAAGTGTTTGCCCCCTTCCTGATTTCTTATTTTTTTGCATGTTTGTCATACTTAAATGTTTCAGATCATCAAACAAATTTAAATATTAGACAAAGATAACACAAGTAAACACAAAATGCAGTTTTTAAATGAAGGTTTTTATTATTAAGGGGGAAAAAAAATCCAAACCTACATGGCCCTGTGTGAAAAAGTGATTGCCCCCTAAACCTAATAACTGGTTGGGCCACCCTTAGCAGCAACAACTGCAATCAAGCATTTGCGATAACTGGCAATGAGTCTTTTACAGCGCTGTAGAGGAATTTTGGCCCACTCATCTTTGCAGCATTGTTGTAATTCAGCCACATTGGAGGGTTTTCGAGCATGAACCGCCTTTTTAAGGTCATGCCACAGCATCTCAATCGGATTCAGGTCGGGACTTTGACTAGGCCACTCCAAAGTCTTCATTTTGTTTTTCTTAAGCCATTCAGAGGTGGACTTGCTGGTGTGTTTTGGATCATTGTCCTGCTGCAGAACCCAAGTGCGCTTCAGCTTGAGGTCACGAACAGATGGCCGGACATTCTCCTTCAGGATTTTTTGGTAGACAGCAGAATTCATGGTTCCATTTACCACAGCAAGTCTTCCAGGTCCTGAAGCAGCAAAACAGCCCCAGACTATCACACTACCACCACCATATTTTACTGTTGGTATGATGTTCCTTTTCTGAAATGCCGTGTTACTTTTACGCCAGATGTAATGGGACATACACCTTCCAAAAAGTTCAACTTTTGTCTCGTCAGTCCACAGAGTATTTTCCCAAAAGGCTTGGGGATCATCAAGATGTTTTCTGGCAAAACTGAGACGAGCCTTTATGTTCTTTTTGCTCAGCAGTGGTTTTCGTCTTGGAACTCTGCCATGCAGGTCATTTTTGCCCAGTCTCTTTCTTATGGTGGAGTCATGAACACTGACCTTAATTGAGGCAAGTGAGGCCTGCAGTTCTTTGGATGTTGTTCTGGGGTCTTTTGTGACCTCTTGGATGAGCCGTCGCTGCGCTCTTGGGGTAATTTTGGTCGGCCGGCCACTCCTGGGAAGGTTCACCACTGTTCCATGTTTTCGCCATTTGTGGATAATGGCTCTCACTGTGGTTCGCTGGAGTCCCAAAGCTTTAGAAATGGCTTTGTAACCTTTTCCAGACTGATAGATCTCAATTAATTTGTTTCTCATTTGTTCCTGAATTTCTTTGGATTGCAGCATGATGTCTAGCTTTTGAGGATCTTTTGGTCTACCTCACTTTGTCAGGCAGGTCCTATTTAAGTGATTTCTTGATTGAGAACAGGTGTGGCAGTAATCAGGCCTGGGTGTGGCTAGAGAAATTGAACTCAGCTTTCCAAAGACGTGATAAACCACAGTTAATTTATGTTTTAACAGGGGGGGCAATCACTTTTTCACACAGGGCCATGTAGGTTTGGATTTTTTTCCCCCCTTAATAATAAAAACCTTCATTTAAAAACTGCATTTTGTTTTTACTTGTGTTATCTTTGTCTAATATTTAAATTTGTTTGATGATCTGAAACATTTAAGTGTGACAAACATGCAAAAAAATAAGAAATCAGGAAGGGGGCAAACACTTTTTCACACAACTGTATGTATATGTGTATATGTATATATGTGTAAATATACATATATGTGTATATGTGTATGTATAAGTATATGTATATATAAACATATGTTTTTTTTAGGGGAGAACTACTTTATATACTTTATATATTGTTGGATAATTTATAGCAAATAATCATATTTCATAAATTTGAAAATATTTATTTTATATATATATTTTTTAAATAAAATATATATCAATATTTATAACTCCACAAGTTTGCATTTATTTTATTAACTAATTAATTGTGAAGGAAAGTAATAAAAAACCTTCACAATTAACCAGTTTTTTTACCAACTGATTGGAGGTTAAAGGAAAAATATTCATCATCATTGTAATTATTTAACATCAAATATTATCCATTCATGTATTTGGTTGTTATATTTTTGGCTATTTTGTTAACCACTGTAAACATCACAGCCGTTCCCTCTTCTGTCTTCAGGTGACGGTGTTGCTGAAGCCGTTGTCTCTTCCCCCCCCACCTCTCAGAGCCCTCCACCTGCTGCTCAGCTCCAAGGTGCCGCTCACCTGGTGGCTGGAGGTTGACAGCCTGCCCCCAAATATGCCAGTGCTGGTGCAGGTCAGTCCGAGTGTGTCACATCACATCTGTGTGATATGACACCTGCAGTGTCACTCACTGCCAGTTCTCACTTGATTGAGCGCTCACATAAATGATTTGCTGTATAATGAGTAAGCCGGTTTTTCCATTCTATCAACGTCTTTTTCTACTTGAAATCTTCTTCTTTGCCCTCATCCGCAAGGTATCCTCAAACTCCAGCGTCCTGTCCAGCGCCCTGCGTTTAAACGTCCAATCGGTGCCTTCGCTCCCCTTTCTTCCACGTGCGCTGCACCGCTGGGCTTTGAAGCACCACGGCAGTCTGTCCTCTCTGACACACGCAACACACGGCAATCAAGTCTACGTCCGACTGGGAGAGGGTGAGCCCCCGAGAAGTGATGATGATGTCCGTCCAATTACAAAAGTTTAAATTCTATTCACAATGTTGAGGAGATGACGTGCATCATTTGAAGGGTCAGTGTTTACAGCTCCTCCCTCATCAGTCGGGTTTACGGCATATTTATAGAGAAGCAACGGCAAATAATATTGTCAGCAGTCTGCTGCCAGCAATAGCCTTATATTTAACAGACAGACAGGTGTGATTCTTCTCATCTAACACTCTAAAGCAAGCAAACACAATTCCCAAACTACGGCTTTAACCTAAACATCTGTGCACCGGTTTGGTGTTCTGTAGGTTCAAATTCCGGTCATACACTCTCATCTCACGTCTCACCAGACGTAAACGCGAGCCTCAGGTCGGACAGATGGTGCTGAAAGACTTTGTGAAACCTACCTCCCTCTTGCTTTGACTCCATATTACAGATCACACTTTGCCTGATGTGTGCCAGCTGCAGTCCATGTTCGTCTCTCACAACTACCTGACCTCTGAGCTGCAGCCGCAGGAAGTGCAGGGCTGCGCCGTCGCTGCAGCAGGTGGGACCGGCCCCGAAGTCCACGTGATCAAGCTCCATTCGGCCGGCTCAGGGCTCTGCGGGTGAGAAGCGTGTGTGTCTGTGGGGTGTGTATATAACGGCTGTTGTTGCACAAGGTAAGTTGAATCTTGTCTCTCTCTCTCCGTCTCCTCCAGCTCTCTCCAGGTGGAGGTGATCGTCTCTCTTGTGCCCCTGGTGGCCAACTCAAAGAGCCAGACGGTTGTGTTGATTCTCAGCAGCTCTGTTCCAGTCAACTGGGCCGTCGTTGCTCATGGTGTCCGGGGTCATGTCTCTGTTCATGTAAGGGCACCATCTCCTCTTCGTGTCTGAATACGTCATCTGATTTGCCGGAGAGTTACTTTTCTCCTGTTCAGCCTCTATGGATGAGCAGTTAAAGATGATGGGAAAGGAAGGCGTTATTCTATATTTTTCTTCTTGTCAACAATTATTTTCAATAATTCAACAACGAATTGATCCTACTGACATATAAGACCTATGCAGCCATAGCCTGATATATCGTCTTCCTCTGTGCCATAGAGCTCTATTATTGCCCCAAAACTATTAAAACACACAAGCGGGCCACACTGGTGCAAAAAAACGATGTGGAAGTGTCTTAGACCTGCATTCTGTCTACTGACCATCAGGGGGTGACTCCTCTGGTTGTATAGAAGTCTATGAGAAAATGACTCTACTTCTCTCTTGATTTATTACCTCAGTGAACATTGCAAACATGAGTTTATGGTCTCAATCTCTAGTTTCAAGTATTCTTCAATACAGCATGATGTTCATTTAGTACATTATGGTCCATTTAGAGTCAAACAGACCATAAAGCAGGGTGTGTTTTAGGGTGGGGCTATCTTGTGATTGACAGGTCTCTACCCTACCAGAGCCGTCTCTAGGTCACTCTTCCGCCATCCAAATATGGTCACTTTCGTCACTGGTTGCAAAAAAAAAGCCAAGATGGCGACCGGCCGTAATCCGAAAGGGCATCGGCCAAAACGCAGATCTCAAGGCTTCAAAAACGGAAATCCAAAAACCAATGGGTTCACGATGGCTACGTCCACTTCTTATATACACTTTATGGGTGGAAGCCACCTCCTCATCCCTCCTCTGCTCAGCCTTGTTGAGACCAGACTGGCCTTCACAACATCTCTAGAGAAACCACAAGATTAAGCCACAAAGAGATAAAATGATGGACTACCAACTGAGCAACTGGGATTCTCACATGTTGCATATCACATTTCAACTTGATTTTACTTTGATTACATCTCTGTATCTGTCTTCTCTCTCTCTCTCTTGTAGTCCTCCAACAGCGTGTCCCCACCCTACCCACCTGAGCCCGACCTGACCCTGTCCAGTACGCTTAACTCTAACCTGTCCACCATACCTGACCTTCTCGCATGGGCCCGAGAGAGCGGCTACACCGGGCTGACCTCATACACCGAGGCCGACCTGGCCAATCGCTTTGTGATCCAGCTGGCTGGGGGCGTGACAGGTCAGGACCCCTGTGTGTCTCTTGTTTCCATCGCTGTGTGAGTGACCTCGCTTTATTTTGAAATCCGCCCAAGTTTCCTCTACGGACAGGAGAAATTATTTGCTTTACGATGGAGGATGAGAAACGAAAAACAGAATATTTCCACCACATGTGCCGAATGAAAGGGGTATCGGAAGTGTGAGTGTTTAACGTCTGCGCGTGGCTGTCTCTGTGTCTCCTCTCTGTCTGTGCCTCAGACGCGGTTGCTGTGATGAATCCAGCGGTCGTGAGGCCGCCCTGGGCCGAGGAGCGCCGGCTGAGGCAGTGGCTGAACGCTGGAGGCCGAGCACGAGGAGGCCGGGAGAGTTTCACGGTGCAGTGTGAGGACGGACGCCTCAGCGTGACCGTAGACCGACGCGTCCTGCAGGTCTTCATACCTCAGTATTAGATGTAAACGATTCATAAAGGGAGAAGCTGCCTGCTGATGTATCCTGAGGTTTCACAAAGGCCATAATGCACAGCAGCTGCTTGTAGTACCGCCAACATTGAATTAATACGAATTTTGTTTAAACTTGCACCTTAACTATCAATGAAATAAACCAACCTTTGCTTTTGATGGGAATATCTTGTACATGAATCACATTTAAAGCTGCTCTAATCATTATGTTTTTTTTACAAACAATGAATCAACTGCCCGCATGTAATATGAAAATGATAAAACCCACAGGGAACTGTTGCACTACTCTGCTTTATGGAGTGTTTTAGTTTTACCAAACAGCAGACGCACAAAGTAAGTGACTAGCTCTTGAACATAGCGCAGTTTTTAGCAGCTGGAGCCAGATGTTTGCCCTCAGGGGTTTAGTGTAGATCGGAAACGGAGCGAAAGGGATGCCAATGTTGATCCGTGTCTGCTAGATCTATAAATATGTGTTTGCCAACATTTTAGCCTTATCAACTTTATATTTGGATAACACTGCAGTGGTGTGTTTAAGGCTTGATGCACAGCTCCAGTCAGACCAGCTGTTGGTTCAGCTTTGAAATGGATTGCCATGAAGTACATTACATTACATTTGTGGTAGAGGATAGATATGACTTTGGTGATCCCCCTGACTAAAGAGCAAACGGCAGGTTGTCATTTGTGGTTTTTGAGTGTAATGTTTCATTCAACAAATGAATTATTGTCATTATTATTAAACAAACTGTGTGTACATCATTTCACTTATACAGAAAAATGATTCATATGAAAGCTACGTCGTCTCACATCAGTTCTCCCTTCCAGAGCTTGTCTGTCCCAGTGACTGCCGTGACTCTGCGAGACTCAACGTGCCTGGCTCAGTCCAACAGGAGTCATTTCCTGTTGGTGTTCCCAGTTATTTCCTGTGGGACTGAGGGTCTTCTCCTGGGACAGCCGAGAGGGGTGCAGTACAAAAACATGGTGAGATAAGAAATATGTCGTCTATTAAACCCTGTATTATATATTTGACCAAATTCAATATTTATTTACCTCCATAAAATAATCCATATTATTATTTTTTTCACTCAACTTTTAAAGAATTATGGGAGATTTTATGTCATCCTTGTTCAATTCATTTACACAAACCAAAAAAGGCAGGGAAAATCAGAGATGTGATGGAGAAAACAGCAGAAACTTAATGAGTGAAAATTTGAGAGCACAAAGGGAAGAACAACAGAATTCAAAGTGAGGTCAATGTTTACCAGATAGTGACAAAAACACAAGGCACATAATAGACACTTGAAATTGTGGTAAGTGGAAGTTGTCCCCAGTGAGACTTGTGACCCAGGTCATCATGACCAGAGCAGCGCGGTGTTAAAGCCTTAAGACGGGATGCTGCACAGAGGCAAACTGAGGGAGAGAGAGATGAGAGGGAGGATACAGAGTGATTTCAGCAAAGTAAAGAGGCAAGCAACAAAGGCAGAAGGTGTGTGTAATGAAACACTGAATGAAAAATGTGTCTATAATGTATAAAAATAAATATGCATCTTTCCTCTGAGTGTAATAATCATAATCATCAGCAGGTATTATTAACTGCTGCATTTTGCACTAAATACCATTGACAGAGAGAGAGAGAGAGAGAACTCTGGCTTAAACATGAATAACTATGCAGTCGTCCAAAACGGGATGAAATAAAAGCATGGATAACCTTTTTGATATGTCTTCATCGACAGACTGCCAAGGTCAATACGGATGAGCTGTGAGGAGTTTGGAATACAGAATAATATGATCTCTGCTTTATTGTTGTTTAGTTGCTGTAAATCGTTGGACATCGAGCACATAATCTTTTCAAGGCAGTCAGTGAGAGGGACAAGATCGCTATTGTCTTTAGGTGTACTGATACAAACAGCTGGGTGTCATCTGCATAGAAAGAAAGATTATTATTATTTATGCACATGTAAATAGAAAACAGCGGACCTAAAACTTTGCATATCTCTCTCTCGCTCTCTCTCTCTCTCTGGTTGTACATATTGTGACATTATTTTTTTATCTCATTTTAGGAAAACTGTTAGTAGTATGACCCCCCCCCCCCCATATGTATAAAACCTGACCAAAAAAAAGTCAAAATTCTTTATGCAATCAGAACCGTTTGATCTGCATTTATCACTGTCACTGTCTGCCACAAATATTTGCATGTAAATAATAATTAAAAATGTATTGTGTTTTTGAGAATCCATACAGTATCACAAAAACATAATTACGCAATACTCAAGTGTATTGACATTTTCTTACACATGGTTGCAATGTCTCCCTCCTCTCTGGCCAGGTGTTATTATGGAGAGACGAGCCTGAGGCCATCCTGGCGCTCAATGAGACAGAATTGAAGTCCAAAGGTCCACTCGGCATACATGTGAGATATCTGTAAACCTATACTTTGAATACTGCATTATTCATGAAATATTTTTAACCTACGGTCTCCTGTTTCTCCTCTCAGTTCAGCTGTTTGGCTGCGGTCCCCACGCTCCCCGGGTCTGCTGGAGTCGATGATGTCGACGTAAACACCCCCCCGGCAGGGCGGATCTCCTGGGCACCCGGGGGTCCGGGGCCTGATCCAGAAATGAGACACCTTCCGACACCCGGACACAGATCTGCGCCCGTTCTTCTTCTGAAGCTATTTGTCGCTGAGAGCTACAAGCAGAGGCGGATCGGCCCCTGTGTCATAACTGCAGACCGCCGTGTCTATGTTGAGGTCCGTGTGTGTCGAATATTTTCTGTGCTTATTTGAAGCAAGCTGTCAAAACCAAGTTCTTCAAAATCAAGTACTTCATTTGTGTGATTATTTTTTTCTTTATGCACGTGTATAAACTGCACTGTTACCAGTGAGAGCAGCAAGCTAACTTCATGGTGCATCATTACATTCCTTTGGTCCTGTTCATAATTAACTACAATTTGTCTTCTTCCTCACTGTTTTGTTATTTGTCCTACTGCAGATTTCAGCCAAAGGGCCCTTCATAGATGTCGTGGAGGTGAAGTCATGTGTGGTCTCTCCTCTGTCGGACCCGAATACGTCTCGTTTCTGGACCGTCATAAGCGACGGCTGCTCCTCAGACCCCTCACTGACCTTCAGTGCAAAGACAAAAGATGAAGACGAAGAAGAGGCAGAAGGTGGTGGTGATGAACTGGAAGAGGAAAAGGAGGAGGTAGATGGACTGGAAAAGGGCAGAGATGGAGATGTCGTACTGCGACACAAAGTTGACAAAAGAGGGAGAGAAGCACCAGAGAGGATGGAAAAGAGTAGCGCGAATGTGGGAACACAGGAGGAGATACGGCCTTTGAGATTTAGTTTCATTCTTCGACCAGTTTATAATGACTCTATGCAGTTCCTCCACTGCAGCCTCCGTCTGTGTGTCTCTGACCCGAAAAAAGGGGAACCTACGGAGGAAATAGTAAAGAATGACTGCGAGGACAAACTACGTATCCCTCCACTTGTTTCTAGATCTTCCAGACACAAGGTACGCAAACAGTTAGCACACTAGGGCTACATTTCATAGCAATAAAGCCTCCTGTCAAATGCATCAAGGGAAGAGTTTGAGAATGTCTTTCTTGTTAAGAGCCAGATGAGCAGATTGGTACCACTCTCACTTGTAGATGCTAGATATAAGGCTACAGCCAGCAGCCGGTTAGCTTAGCTTAGCATAAAGAATTGAAACTGCTAGCCTGGATCTATCTAAAGGTAACAAATTCTGCCTACAAGCAGCTCTAAAGCTCATGTATTAACATGCATCTGTAAAATATAACACATTGTGGACTATTTCTTGGCCAAGAGCAGTGACGTCTTGGAAACTTAGCTGGTTTAACCTCATGGTAAAGACAAGACAATCAGCTTTTTTGGACCGCAGGAGCTTTATCATCGGTCTAAGAACTCCTCTTTTTATTGTGTATGCACTGCAAGAACTAGGAACGGCAGTAGTTCTTATCACGCCGTTTTGAGGGACTTTCTTAGATTCTATTTCAGAATAGGGACTCCCCCTAAGTGTTACTTAGTTGCAAGGTTTTGAAACTCCTCTCGAATTTATACACAAGCATGTATGGGGGAATTAATCATCTTTGAAAATGATAACGCCCTGATAAAACTGTGTTGCCAACATCAGATTTTTATACACGAGTCCCACAAAATGACCTGTGTTGGCTGATTGCAGAGCAGCACCAGCAGCCGCCATTTTTAAAAACCTGTTAGCCATGTAAACAACAGACAACCTAAAATACAAACGGCAGCTTGTAATGAAGTGAAGCTCAGGCTTCGCTGAGTATATCTACGATTAATTTTGACTCGCCAATGCATTGCTATTCACCAGCCAGCTTAAGTATGAATGCAAATCACTGTCAAAATCCGAGAGTGCAAATGAGATCCATGCGCACGCGAAAATCAAAAAGCTGCACACGGATTTTACTTTGGCGAGCACTTTTACATCACTCCGCAAGCAAAATTCCGTCTCACGTGAGCAAAATTCCGGTTTATCCAAAGACGAGGATTGTAACCAATTAGATGTAGAGATACAATGGCGACTGGGTCCGCCCACTTACTGTCAAAAAGAAAAACACTCGCGAGCGAGCAGGTAAAAGATTCGCGAGCGAGCAGGTTTAAGCTTCGCGAGAGAATTCTGCTCACGCGGGACGGAATTTCGCTCGCGGAGTGATGTGAAACCGCTCCTCAAAATAAAATACGCGCGCGGCTGTTTGATTTTCACGCGCGCATGGATCTCATTTGCGCATGGATCTCATTTGCGCTCTCGTATTTTGACAGTGATTTGCCTTCATACTTAAGCCTCGGTTAAAGTCAGGAGGAAGCGTTTGGATTTGAAATACTTTTATCTATTTTGTATACGGCAAAACATTCTCAAATGTCCTCTTAAATCGTCCATTGTTTCCGACCCCCCATTGTGTTTGATGATATGAAGTCACTTTAGCCCTGCGGACACTTACGACCCTCATGGAAGCATCAAGCATAAATCACGCTTTATGCCACTTCAGCATTGCTATTGATGGTGTTAACTTGACGTTAGTAGTAGGCCTACTCTCTGGTAGGCAGTTCCTCTCAGGGAGTCCACGGAACTCTTTGGAACAAAAACACTTTAATCCTTACTTTTGAGCAGTCAAGCTAGCTCTTTCCCGTCTATGTGTTAAGCTAAGCTAACCGGCTGCTAGCAGTAGCTTCATATTTACCATACTGACATGTTAGTGGTACCCCAGCAAGAGAAAGAATAATCATATTTGCCAAAATACTGCTTTTGCTTTCATGTAACTTGAAAATGCTCACTATTCACTAGGGGGGCAGACGTAAAGAAAGTTTGTCTGTGCAATTTGATATCACAGTTAGGAAATGTAAGAACTAAAACAAATGTTTAGCAGTGTGAAAGGTTTTTAATATTGTAGACAATTATTTATCCTGTCCACTTAGTGTTGATTCACAATGTGTGCTTTGTAACACTAATGACAGTGTAGCTAACATGCAGGCCTTCTCCTGTGTCCCATCTCAGTGTGAGATCAGAAACCTCTACAGGCCCATGGTGGTCACCCAGTCCATCGGGTCACTGGCACGCAAACTGGGGCCCTCTGCCGGCCAAAGAACCAAGAGGCCGAGTGTCTCCCCACTGGCCAGTCCAGACCCGGAGCACAGCAGTGAGTATCACTTATTTTACAATGTTACCGTGAGACTATTTGACCTGCTGTACCGTCTCACTGTCTCATGAACACTGTGTCTCTGCAGTGATGACAGGACCAGCGATGGGAATTGTCTTCGCTGCCTTTGTGATGGGCGTCAGCCTGATGGGGGGGCTGTGGTGCATCTATTACTATACAGGTAACGAGATCGGCTTCCTTCTGTCACTGAAAAGTGACTTAAATGTCCCGGACCTTTTGACATATTTGAAATTAAAAGTGATCATCATGATCATCATATCTGTTTTGCTGTTGAGACATTATAAAGAGACTGTAATTCTATCTTTCGAAAGGGGCACGTCCAGAGTCACTTGGAGGAGAAAGTCAGTTAACAGACCGCACTCATAAAGGTTGCAACATCTGGAATCCACTGTCAACATCTGATCAGGCGTCCAGCTCGGTGTAGGAGGTAAGATCGGATGAGGACGGTCCCACATCGAAGTCTATGTACTACTGCATTATGTCAGCCTTTTGTGACGTCTGACAAATCGCCTCAAGTGATGTCACTCGAGTCAGCATCATTTGGGGCTTAAGAGTACAAATCCTATGTGGGGGTGTGGAGTTAGAAGGAAGTGAGCTCTGTAGCCCGCCGCTCATCTCTGCTTAACGCTACATTAACCACTACGAGCAAAACACACCTGAATCGTTGACTAAACTGTTATCAGTCGAGTTGCATTGTGGGTAATGTAGACGGCAAGTTAAAAACAGAAAAGAGTGTCCACCGTGACTCCGACGGCGTTACGGGATGACTAAATTAGTTAAATTGCTAATTTAGGGAAGAACTCTCTTAAAGGGGATTCATCAAATGTATTCCTTAGTTCCAGTGTTTTGAAACTACTCTTGAATTTATGTCTGTCTGTCCGGACTTGGAGGGAAAAATGGATGATGACTAATCAGAACACACTTTTGTCCGTTACTCAGGTCTCCAGGTTTTATGATTCTCATTTGAATACTGAAGCCAATTCAGATCAATGAAATCCTTTAAAGAAATCCTTTAATAACACAAGCAGTGAGCGTACAGCTATTTTGGACTGCCATTGAAAAAATACTCTGTTTTTTGGTAATTATCTTATTATTTACTGGACACAAAGTACCATCCCAATGATTCAAAGTGAATGCCAGCAACACGTTGCATCACGTTACACAGACAAATGCATGCAAAGCTACCCCTCTGTTCAAATGTACCACATTTTTACAAACTTGCAGAGTGAACTCGATGTCAAAGCGGTGGATTTAAAATAAACTGGCGCGGTTAGAAGCGCCGGCAGTTCCAGAAAATGTATCGGCATTAGGCGAACACCTGCAGATTTCGACTCCGATGTGCCAGATAGGTCTGAACAGTTTTTCATTCTTTTATCTCTCTCTCTCTCTCAGGATTTCCTGCAAATCTGAGAAAGGAGAACTGGAACAGAGGTTCTAACAGCTTGTGTGTGTGTACGTGTGTGTGTGTGTGTGTGTGTGTGTGCACGTGTGTGAGAGCTAGCACAGCTGCTAGAGCCGTGTTTGTGCACTTCTCCTGCATCGTTCATCGCTCTGCAGCGAGTGAGGACTGAAACCATGTGAATACAGTAGCGCTTACTCATCGCAACGTTTGTTTGTTGCCGCCAGCCATTCTGCAACGAGTCATTTCAAAAGTGGCAGCGACTCGTCGCACGGAGAGACATTCGTCTGGATTCGACACGATCTAAACTTGGTCGTAGTGACTCAGACGGAAACAACATCATCGCCTTTTAAGAGACGGAGCACGAGGTCAAAGATGAACTGAGGTCACTGCCAGAGCCTGTTTGAAGAGTCCGTCATTGTCACTGTTTGTGCTGTTACTGTGAATCAGCTGGAAAACTGCATTTACTTGTGTGTGTATTCTGTTTGTGTTTATATGGCAAATAAGATGTAATAAACATGTCGTTTCACTCTCAAATCACATGCAAGTCAAAGGAAGTTAATGTGCCCTGTAAAATATATTAATAGTGAATGGGAGGCTGACATGCATGCGTTTCCACCTGACAGTATGTAATGGTGATGTGACAGTTGCCTATTTTCACATTCGGCAGAAACAGAGCAACATGTTGCTGTCCACCCGATGAAGCTCAACCTGTCCTTTCAGCTCTGCTGTAGTCTCCGCTTAGTTCTGAGAAAAATACTCTTCAGCTGCTTAACGCTCCGCTATGTTCACCAGCTAGTCACTAAGTGTCTGTCTGCCGTGTGGTGCCGAAGCAGGTTGTGCTCAGTGGCTTTTTATTTATTCAATTTTTTTAAGAGCTTTTTTTGCAGGAAAAAAACCCCTAACAGCAGCGAGAGTGGCCCAAAACATTAGAGCTGCGTCCTAAAACCACTACAATTAGTTGGTAAAAGTGCTCCGCAGAGCGGAGGGGAACTGAGTTGGTCGCTCATTCTCTGTGGGTTCGTCCCCTTTCGGTAACATGTACCGGATGTGCTGTAGAGATGGTACAGAGTTTTGTATGTATGTATGTTTTTTTGTTATTTTTTAACTTTAATTTTTAGAAAGTAATTTAAAAAATGCACCTCCGGTCCGTGCAGTAGTGGAAGCACATCCTCATCATCAGTCATCTATGCTGCAGTGTATTAAGGATGCTACATCCAATAAAGGGGAAAATCACACAAAAACTACAATCACACCTGCACATGTTTTTGAGGGAAATAGTTCTCTGACAATTGCATGACGTGATTGGATAAAGGTCCTCTTGACACTTTTTCCTGGCACATCCTGGGGGGGGCAAACAGCCCACATTATCAGTTTTGGCAGCGTGTTTCCTGAAAGACGCAGATCTACAACAAAAACAAAGTCGCTTTTCAAATATAAAAAAAACCTCAAACCAACAACGTTCTTACACAATCAATCTGGTTTTATTATCCAAGGCGTCACAATTCTGACTTTTACAATTATGAGGGATTGAAAATTATTTACAAAAGTCATTTCCCTCTCACTCCATTGCCTCATAGTCTCAGTTTTGTGTGAACATGTCTCCATAGCCACAGTGCGTCTCTCGGTGGCGCTGTAGGTCCACCCTGCGCTGGAAGCTGTGCTGACAGCTGGGGCAGCTGAAGGGCCTGTAGCTGCTGTGCTTTCGGCTGTGGGTGATGAGGTTGGAGCTCTGGCTGAATCCTTTACCGCACACTTTACACACGTGTGGTTTCTCACCTGTGGGGGGAAAGCACACTGGGTTTTAGTAAGTTTGGGGCCTTTTCGCAGAACGAGTTTCGCCCCCACGGTTGTGGTTACCCACCCGTGTGTATGAAGGTGTGCTTCTTCATGTCCGACTTCTGGTGAAACCTTTTGCCGCAGTACTGGCAGGGGTAGGGCCGCGTGTCCGAGTGGATGAGGAGGTGGGTGGACAGGGTTGACGAGCGCTTGAATGCCTTCCCGCACACCTTGCAGTCGAAGCTGCGCTCCTGGATACGCAGACGCATTGAAAACAAACAAAGTGAATCCATGACGAGTCGTGTGTTTGTACTGAAAGATTATAAAACTAAATTCTCACTGTACCTTAGCTCTAGCGTAGCTGCCTATTGCTCTGAAGTCAAAGGGCATGAGGGGCATGTTGGTGGCGGTGGGTGATCTTGTCAGTGGGACGGAGAGGGCGTTGTGGAGATGAGCCTGCAGGCCGCCTCCTGATATCAATACTTCTGAAAGAGACTTAAGGACACGGAGAGAGTGAAAAAAAGTGATGAGAAGAATAATGCCACTACCCAGTCTGTGCTGCAGGTTAGCTTAGCATAAAGACTGAAAAACAGTGGGAAACAGCTGGCATGGCTTTGCCAGGCAGTGGTAAAAATCAGCCTATCAGCGCTCCTAAAGCTTACTGATCACGATTTATAAGATGGGATCAGTAACTTACTGGAGTCACCGCTGGTTGACTAGCAACTACGACACATTTACCATATAAATATGTAAGAGGTATCAATCTTCTCATCTCAGTCTCTGCCAGAAAGCAATTCAACTTATAAACCAAAATATTTCTTTCACATAAGAGCTGATATACTGACAGACATTAGCTTATTGCAGAAAAGTCTGTATATTGGTAGCAGTGTGTATATCATCTGATAAGTAACAAGAAATGCCAAAGATAGATCTGAGGTAATTTTGAAACGGTGATAAATAATTTATTTTTGTTTCTTTAGTCTATATGTTATAATATATATAATAATTCATATTAATTTCATTAATTTGACATTTTACTTGAAACATTCAAAGGTTTTGATCGACAGAGATTGAGATTTATTTACTTTTTCTTTCAAGGCTGAAGCGTGAATGAAAATAAGGCATAAATAACATATGCACTATTTTTGCTCCGAAGTATTCACCATGCATTCCTCTAGCAGCAGGAAAAGCCTCTTATCTTTTTCAATTGACCCCTTTGTTCACAAAAAGAATAATTTCAAACACTCCTGTTGAACAGCACAGACTACTTATTTTATTTTACACTTCGAATCGCCGTGTCACCCTCTTGACATGTTGCCAGGTTCTGTGTCATGGCAGTTACTTTTATCGTTATTCACCCTAGTTTCCTCTTTCTTTATAGCAGCAGATAAGGACGTAAATATTCTGGCAATGCGGAGGCCTCCCACCTTTTCACAGAGCGGACACTCGCTGACGGGAGATTTGAGGTCGGTGTGTGACGTGTGGTTGAGCAACAAGTAGACCAGTCCCTCCAGTTGTCTCTCTCGTTCAGACGCCTGGTGTCCGTCCGCCGTCCAAAGCAGAGGGACGTCTCGGTTCTCCACGGGGGCTTTTGTTAGAATATGAAAGGATGATGGAAATGACTTTAGTTTACAGAGAATCCTTTTATTTTGGGTCTTTGCTTTGCATTTGTGGCCTTGAGTGTGCAAAGATGAATCCTGAGTATTGATGTGCACTTTCTCTTACAGAACTACTGTCTCAATTATGACTGAGATACATGCTATCCAAAGAACACATACTGTATACTCGCTGATTAGAAAGTGTTGGGTACCTGAATGCCAAGGTTCATCTGTGGGGTTCCTGTGAGAACAGACTGCCATCCCCTCCCATGGTGAGCAAGCCAGCAAGTCTTTGACCCCTAACATGGGGGACAAAGGCCTCACAGCATCCTCGGGAAACCTCCTCCTGCCCTGTCCCGTCGCACGCTGTACAGGCTGGTCGGTGTCTGTTTGGGGCTGGGAGTGTTGTCTGTAAGAGTCCTTAGATGGGCCGAGCAGGTGAGTCCTTTTACTCCTGACGAGGAACGACCGCGGCATGGTTGTGACTGAGGGAGGTGATGGGAGACGAGGTAAAAATCCTGCAAGAATAAACCCAGGGGCGGGGGTCTAAAAAAATCTGCTCTTTCAAGTCACGTTTGGAGCCTCACGCACTCTGATGTCGCACACCTGCCGCTACATGTTCAGTTACAATGCCGAAGCCTGAGGTTTCCTCAGCAAATACAGCCCGCCACCTGCACCAAAGGTTTCAGGGCTTTTGCTGAGGATAACCCGGCTGTGGCGTTTGACAACTTCTAAACTGACACTGCGGTACAGTTTTTATACTTCCATTTGAGCTACCTGTACGCTATTTAGACATTGAGAATGATTCAAAATGTGGGATTATTAGTTCCACATTACCTAAATGAAACATATAAATAAAGAGAATTTACCAAGTGTTACATTTATTATTTTTCATTTTGTCAAATTAATTCTTAAATCAGTTGATTTGAACATTTTATCAGATCATACGGTAAACAAGAAAGAGGAAAGCTTCAACTGAAAAACTAAAAAAAGATTTTTTAATTTAGCATGAGCCTCTGTAATAATAAAGATGATTTATTCAGTAACCTGATTATGTAATTCTATAAAATAATATCCTTCACAGCCTTGAAGTTGGACAGAAGACGTTGCATTGTGCCAGTTGATTGAATTTGCCATTTTGTAGTTACATTAGAAAATGTCTAAAAGATTCAATACATTGAAAATAAGCTTGATACTATAACAGTGAGATCTTACCTCTGTATTGCGCAGCTGAATGTTGAGAGCCTTTCTTGTGTCTTCATTGCGGCCACGTCCTCTTTTCTCTTTCTGACACCCATCAACTGATGACATGACACAAAGAGATTTGATTTGATTTCGAAAGGCTGCTGAGGATTGTGGGTCTTTCGGCATCGGAGGGAAAAAATGCCCGAAAAAGTTAATAGAAGTCAACAGATAACTTTCAAAATATCATCTTTGTTTCAATAACTTTTGTGGGTTTTACCTCTGTTGCTACCCTTAATCTGACCAGCAAAGTCTACAAAAACATGACAACATCTCTGTCTTCTCTAAAGGTTTGGTTGACCGCACACTTCGGGTTGAGGACCCACTGTGAATAAAGGTGCTGTGATACCAAAGTCAAGTCAAGAGAACCCTTGATTACTGTGGGGCTCATGTGGGTGGACTCATAGATACGCTGAGCATTCTTTGGAAAGTTTGAATACCTCATATTTTTCATGTGAACATGTGGACCTTTACTATTGAGGCGCCAATTACACATCACACTTTTTTTTCTTTGTTTACCTGTCTGTCTAATGGTTTCTGTGTGTTCTTATGTGGCACCCATTCATCCCACACATTTCCTCATGTGAGAGGAGGGAGATTTTTTCCTTTTTCACCAACTTCATCTTGAGCGCTGAACTACAGCCTGACTAACCTTTCTCTCAGAAAGACGTAGAAAATAATTGCCTTAAAGATGTTTTATTGAAAGTGACATCTTGGAAAGGAGTGAGATCTGGAGTGAAATCTTATAAGTAATTCAAAAGCTCTTCATTTATAAAATCTTAAGTACAATCCTTTATAGATATTTGTAAATTATATATAATGAGTAAATTGAAAGGGTAAGTGCTTGATGATCATTTAAAAGCAAGATATAAAGTTTAACACTCATGGTAAAAGAAAGAAGTGACAACAAAACATACTGAGTCATCGTGCTGCATATGGCTTGTCAATACAATTTGCAAAGTTCCTCCTATTTTGTCCTTACAACCTATGAAGCATCAACCCCGAACACATTTACCAGAACATAGCTTTAGCTGTAACTAACTACACTGACCACCAACTACCTGCCCGACAGAACACACCCCAACAAGCTGTGTCATTTTGCTGTACTAACAAGATGCCCTGAGAAATAAACAATACAGGCAAAAAGCAGTATACCTGCAAATACACATTAATACAATCTACCAATGAGTGATGACTTACTCAAATATTTGTGGTAAAGGGGAGACCACTCATTACAGTGTGCTTTTAAAATGTTACGAATGATCTGTAGGTGATATATTAGATGTTATCATAATGTAAAATGTCAATTACAAATACCTTTATCATTTAAAAAACATTTTCAAATGTGCGATATACCACTTTTTCCAGAACCAAATTAAAAGTTTCAATATTTAATCACAGGAATGGAATCATTTAGTCTGAAAGCCAAAACTGGAAGGGATTAAGAAATCTAATTTTGCTGCATTGTACTCAAAATCAACCATAAAAACTACTCAGTAGTTTATTTAAATGACTTACTCATAATAACCATAAAACACAACTAGCACCGATATGAGTGGGGAATAATTGGTAGAAGACAGGACAGAGCAGGGAACCTGAAGACACACAAATATCACAATGGAAGATCTAAAAAAATAACTACTCTTCAAAAAAACAATTAAATGCAAGGCCAGATGGATTGACCACAGAACATCATAAAATGACACATTTTACAAATTAATCTTTACGACAGGCTAACCCGTTGCCAAATTATGGATTTTTCCAATCTTCAAAATCTTCACTTTGCTACATATACTGTACAACTTGCAGTGCCAATCACCAACAGTAGGCATATCTGGTTTAAATAAAAGAACACAAAATCAATCAGTATGCAGATGACATACTCTTTTACTTAACAAAGCCTCCGGGGTACGGGACGTGATTTTATGCTTTAGTGGCTAGAGCTGTCATGAAAATCAAAATACTACATAAAATATGATGAACATGAAACTGGTCAAGTCACTGTTCAGCCTGGTCTTCTAGAAAATTACGTTCACATTCAACAAAACTGCTTTGTCAATTATGGTTTCCTGGGAATGTACTTTGACCCAAATTACGTGCGTTTTTGACATCTCAAAAATACTTCTATTCATAGTCCGCAGATGTCTACACACGGAGGAGGTCGGGGTGGCTGGGCGGGTCACACAAACACAGGACTTTCACCCAGGAGACTGCTGTTTGTGTCTAGAGTGAAACCAAAAGTCATCGTTCATTTATTTTCATTTACGTCCCCAACTTAAATAACGTAACAAACATACTTATTTTAAGTCAAACCATGATGTTTTACTAAACCTGACCATGTGGTTTTGTTGCCTTAACATAATAAAGTAGTTTGTTTGGCTTTTGTTTGGTTTTGTTTGTAATTTATAATGTTAACCACCTGTTTTAAACTGCGACAGGAGAAAATATACCCAGAAACGTGTAATGTGTAATTGAGAATGCAGTTAAGTTGTATGGTAATCTTGTTTTACAGGAGACAGGCTTGCACTATTTAACGTTGTGAGTGTTACAATACAATAGTTAGACTAAATAAATGTAATAAACCACACTGAAGAATATAGGCCTTTAAGGGAATTTCTAGAATAATGTCATTAAATACACAAATCCTCAATAAATATTACTAATAAAGGTACCATTTCTTGATAAGACAATTACAAAACACACCCTTTCTTAAACAATAACTGATTTTCTTTGCATATAAGTATCTGTCGTCAAGCAATGAGGTCTGAATCTGACCCGAGATTGAAATCAAATCATCAAGGGCCACATATGTGCAGAAACAAAAGCATTTCTCAATGTGGCTGTATTTTTGCAAACATCTCATTTGACTCCTGGTGTCAGCAGCATACACATTGAGCTGAGTTCGCCTTGATGTGCATGAAGAGAGGCATGTCAGTGCACTGTGGTTGATGTGGTGGGGGGCTTGCAACCTTCTCCCAGGGGCTGTCAGGGAGAGCAGACGAGAGTGCTGCAGGGAGCTGAGACGGGCTGGTGGGTTCAGTGGGTTTCTGCCTCATTTGTTTTGGGGGGTTCAGGGGCTTCTTTTTCCCCTGATGGTGGTAGAAAACTGCCTTTCTAGGAACCTGAAACTCTGGGAGGAGGAGGGGGAGATGCTGGTGTGACTGTCGTCAAAAGTTCATTTTCCTATTGCTTTGTTTCTGATGTTCACTCACCATGTTATGAGTAAACCTGACTATGTAGTATATCAAGTGGGAGGAATGTGATAAATGTGTGATGTGACTTACTTGTTGTGTTGAATATATACATGAATAAATGCTACTATTAATTAACTATAATTGCTTTTTCTTTTGAATTATAACATTTAAGAAATCCCAAATGTTTTTGTGTCGCGGAAAGCTGCCAGCTGCCATCCAACCATCAAATGACCATCCTAACATTAACTATTTTAACCAAATGATGGGGTGCAACATTTATTTTTGGTGCTAACCCCTTTAAAACAAATACTAGCATGTGAATTCTATTAACTTTTGATTCTCAACCAGTGATCCAAAAAAAGAGGAAACTGATGTCTTACAACCCTATCTCATTAAAGAGGCCACTTTTACACATTCAAGTGAGACTGTAGCTTTGGAAAGAACACACACCACTTTCTTTCTCTAAAAAAAAAAAGTTTTAATGGATAAGCAGTAGGGGTGTAACGGTTCAATACGATACAGTGGTGCCACGGTTTGGTGAACAATGATGGATTCATTTGTGTACAGGAAGCTGCAGCAAATCCTGTTTTGTATTTCACACATGGGTTGCTGTTGTGCTTCTGTGAAAGAAGGTCACACTCTCTGATCTTTGGAGGAGGCGAGAGATCTGCTGCACAGCAGTTGCTTTCTGAGACGCTAGATTAATGACATCGGCCTATTAGTGTCGTTGCAGTCAGCAGCTAGCCCGTGACGTCCGTCTGTCTGTTGTCAGAGGAACAGCGGGTGCTTCAGACATTTTGTGTCCGTGCTTTTCTTTCCTTTTACAAAGCAGGAATTATGGGAAAATGGGGGATTGTGTGGTGATTGCTTTAGCCCTGTTTGAATCAGTAGGGAGTAGCTACCTAAACACTGCAGGGAGAGTTTGTAGCGTGTGTGCTGCTGTTGGTTTTCCTGCTAAGCTAGTTTAGCATAGCGCGCATCCCAGAAAACACGTGCCTTACCAGAGTACAATGTACAATGTACTTGGATAGCGCTTTTCTAGTCTTTCTGACCACTCAAAGCGCTTTCACACTACTTGTCATCATTTACCCACTGATGGCAGGGGCTAAGTGCCATCTGCCTATCAGACTAACTCATTCACACACCGTAGGCACAGCTACGGGAGCAATTTTGGGGTTAAGTGTCTTGCTCGAGGACACTTCGACATGCGACTAGCGGAGCCGATCGAACTGACGATCCTCTGATTGAAGGACAACCCTGCTCCCGACTTAGCCACAGTCGCCCCTAATGTTGTTCTTCCGTGGTGGGAGTGTCAGACAGCACGTTGTCTGTTACGTCAGGTGGGTTGCCATGTTGAGCACAGTGGCTCCACCGAGAGAACATTATATTTCCCACAATTTAAGCTTCCACATTTTCCAAATGCAATAGTATTATTCAAAGGTATTGTTCGGTTCGTAATGCGTATCGAACTGTGAGCCTTGTACCAAATGGTTCAACACGAATATGTGTATTGTCACACCCCTAATAAGCAGTGACATGCAACCTTGCTTAATTCAATACACTCAAAGGTTTGGCTGCTACAAATGTATTTGGTCTGGTATGACCAGTGGCCTAGGGTGACTAAAGTTAGCTATTGTTTGTGAACTTTTGATAGATATTGATGTATAACAGAATTACTGAGTCAATTGACTCTTCTTTTACTTGTTCTACTTTGTTTTAGCATTTACAGACATCCTGTCATTTTCAGTTGAGGCCACCGTGGCTGCTGCTCAGCAAAGGTTACATAGTGTTGCTTTAAGATACGTTTTACACATCGTGGGTCATACTGCTCATCCTGTGAAAACAGTTTC